AAAAAATTAAATAAACTTTTCAGGCCATAGTTAACTGTAGATAACTAAAGCTGCAGAGAACGAAGTCATGGATATGTGTGGCAGTGTATCTTGGAAACATTGCCGTGGTTCAGGATGGGCAACAGTTTGCAGGAGTGCGTAAACTCATCAGGCTTGTAATACGCAATCTCACTGAGAACCCTTTGGGGGAAAGCATAAGGTAAATTGTGTTTGTTAAGAAAATTATGAATATAGCCTGTCTCTTTATCCTTCTCTACACACGCATTTCAAAGCTCTATTAAGTTTTACGGTATAATAAATGGTGCTAGTTAGTTGAAACAACAATCATTTTATTATTTCCTAATTCCGTAGAGTAGCAGGCCGAAGAGACTGCAGCCTTTCCCGCGGGGCATCTGCAGAGGCTGCAAAGCTCAGCTGAGGCCAGAGGTCTCCATGGAGACGCTCGCCTGTCCAGTGGGTGGCACCTAGCAGGCCCTCAGCTGTGACTGCTGTGCCTGCTCCCCGTGCCCTCTCGTCCTCAGGGTGAAGGTGGGACTCCTCGCCTGGTGACCCTTGGATTCCAAAAGCTCCGCGAGCCTCTGCTGCATCCACTCCCCAATTTCTCCTTAGCCAAAGCAAGTCACGTGCACAGACCTAGTTTCAGAGGGAGGTAAAATTGATTCGCACTCTTGATGGAGAAGTGGAAGACTCAAACTGGAAGTGGCAAGGATGGGAGGAACCTGGGACTGTTTTAGAAACACCCACGGATACTAGAGTACATATAGGTGCACTGGCAGGAGCGTCTCCACCAGACTGAATCAGAGAACGCCTGGGCTAATCAGTTTCCTGTCACTTAACAAAATTCCCGAGGCAATTAGCTTACAAAAGCAGAGGTGGTTTCTGGTTCTCAGTTGTGGAGGTTGCGCTCCATGGTCCTTTGGCCCTGTTTCATGGACTTGAGTGAAGACAGCACCTCGTGGGAGCGTGTGGCAGAGCAGAGTGGCTCCCTCTGCAGCCAAGGAGCCAAATGGAAAGAGGCAGGGGCTTGACTCCTGCAGTTCCTTTCAGGGACGCACCCGCAAGAACCCAAAAACTGCGTGAGGCCCCTTGTCCTAGAGGTGCCACCCCTTGCAGTAGTGCCTTGCAGTAGTAGACTTTGGGACACTCATCCGAACCGTGGTGCTTCTTTGTCCTGTAACTTCAGTGTGTCGTGGGATTCTTCCCTAGGCTCTTCTTTCTGCTCTGGACTTTGGGCTTATAGCCACATTTACTGGTTAGATTGTCTTGTCTTGCCTTCTTAAGTTGTGATTTCTTTTTTGGCCACATTTGGGTCAATGACTTGCTTTGGTACAAACACAGAATTTCTTCATATACCATTTTGCTTTTGTATATTGGGTGGAGGTTCGCCTTTCAAGAGTGTTTCGTGCTTCAGCGAGGGCATTAAACTCCTTCCTGGCTTGAGCTTCTTCTCAGGCAGTTTGGAGACATACTCAGCAAGTCCCGAACTTCTGTGGCTATGATCTGTTCCACTGAGTCCCTGTTCACTGATTCCTGTAAGGTTTATGACATGTGGCCAAGTTGTGCGTTATTTTATTGGTCTAGAAACAAAACTTTGTGCTTAGTGCTACCTGTGTTCTGAATTGGGCACCACTCGGCTCTAGACAGTCAGGTGTGATCCCTGTGAGCTCTCGAAGTGTCTGTCTCACCAGGGTCTCTCAGCTTTCCCTCTGCACCACTGATCTGCCCAGCCAGACACTTTTTCTCGGGCTTACTCACCTAGTGTCACGCAGTATTAGCAGCAGTCCTGGCCCCTACCTATTATGCTAGTAGCTCCTTCTCTTCTCTTTCCCCTCTGTCCCTACTTGTGACAACTGAAAGTGTCACTGGGCGTGGTCACTTGTCCCTTTAGACAGCAGAATGCCCTTCGCTGAATACCGCTGCCTTCAGCTGGAGCTGCTGAAGCCGAGGACAGAAGGACAAGTGTGGAGTGTGGGTTATCAGAGAGCAAGCTAGGTGCAGCATCCAGCAGAGAGACCCCAAGTGTAGGAAGGGGTGTTAAAATTTCACCGAGGGACGGCCCTGGATTCCCCTGAATTAACTAACTCGAAACATCAAATTGAGTCTTGCCGCACTGAAAGACACATCAATAGCTCAACTTCATGATGTTAGAAGTGGATTAATGGTAAATACGATCCCTGAAGGGGGAACCAAAGGGGATAGCAGCTGTGCTGACCACAGATAAAGGATTTTGAAAAGCTCTTTATTTTGGAAAAATTTAAACTTTAAAAATTAAACAAAAAAGTGGAGAGAATATATCACGACCCATGCAGTACTCGCCACCGAAGGTCTTAAGTGCTGGACAGATTCAGGGCTTGTCCTGTATCTGTGCCTCACTCCCGCCCCCTGCTGTCCACTGCGGTTATTTCGAAGCAAATTTCCTGGCATCATTTGATTTCTTTGTAAACATTTCAAGGCATATCTAACAAAATATCTTAAAGTGATCATTGTAATATGCTGATGAAACTTTAATCTTCTGATGAGGGCAAGAGTGAGAATTTCTGCTAAGAAGTATCAGAAAGTAGAGGGACAGTCAGTGGGATTTAGGCCAAAGAGGCTTTGCTTTGGGGGCATCAAAAGGCCCAGAAGAACATGAAGGTGCGGACACTGTCTCTTTGAGCTGCTCTCCCTGCTGTCGTGCTTTGAGCATCTCTTACAGATGCCCCTTCTACCGTGGGATTTTCCACAGGGGACTGGGGTCCTTTCAAAGGAGGACAGGCTGGCAGGTAACTGATGCATTTTCTAAGAAGGAGGAGAAAAAAAATCCCCAGAAGGTATTGAAATACTCAGTCAGTGACGGATTGCTCTCTGATGACTTTCAATGACTTTTTAGCTGATCAAGGCCCACTTTTAATAAAACAAAGCAGGAAGAAAGTCTTGCAGTTGCTTTTTAAGATTTTGCTGGGCCTGTGGTATTTCTCACCTGTTACAATGTATTCTGAGAAGTTTCTTTCTTTTGATTTAGACCTCCTCACTTGATTTTATTGTGTCATAAATCTCCTGCAATTGGTGAGAGCTATGGTATAGCGAGACCTACGTGACTTGCTAGATAACATCTGTTTCCCCCTTCTCTTTGGAAGATTAAACCGAGGCTGTTGTATTTGATGCCAGAATAGATTTAACCAATCATGTTTTCTTTACATGTAGGTCAATCCGAGGGACAATTCCGCGCTGGATCCCATTATCCATGGGCTGAAGGGAGTCGTACATCATGGTGAGTAAGCCACATCCACTTCTGTTGCTGGAATGAGAGAGGCTCAGATCTTCATAGAAAGGAGCCAGGTTATCTCGCAGAGGACAGCGGACACTCATTCCTCCTGCACTGATGCTGAAGGGCGCCGGACCCATTATTTGATGGGTAAAGAGCACGCCCATGTATCACCCGCAGATGGATCTGGGTTACAGCGGCTGTTTGTTTCCCATCATGTACCACTTGGAATGCGTAGGTTGTAAATCACAGTACCCGGAGGTGTACCGTATTCCTGTGTGTTGAACCTGCCATTTGGCTCATCTCTGCCCTAACAATATTCTTCTTTGAAGTGTCTTTTCACTTATAATTTTTTTGATTTGCTTCTGAGATTTAGGGGACAAAAAATAAGTAGCCAAGACAAGCCATTAAACATTATGGCATGGGGTTCAGCGTCGTCACACAGCCGGTAGGACAGGAAAGGCACAGAGCTAGGAGAGAAAGTAAGATAAATGGGCTCTGTCTTTTTCAACTGGTTTTTATTGGAGGAATTTCCCTGCAACTTTATTATCAGTGATGCATCATTACCCATGCTATCAGGATCCTTGAATTTCAGAAGTACCTTTTTCACAGTAAGGTGTGGAGTCTAGATCTAATGTAATGATTTGCAAAGTTTTAGTAATGTAATTAGAATTCCAAAGACATTGACAGAAATAGCATTAGTAACTATAATAAATCTCCCTTCATTCCCACGGCCCTGATTAAAATGTGCTCACACCTTTTGGGAGGACTGTCTTTAGACATGAGCCAACTCTGTTGAGCTTTACAAACACCCTGTCTCTCCCACGTAAACTAAAAATTACCAGGGTTTGAGCAAGTAGCACGTGGATTAAGTGTTCTGTTCTTAAAACTGTTCAGCTGTGCAACAAGTAACAATGAACCAAGTAAAAGTAGAAAAACGGGCCGGGGATTTAGTTCAGCGATGCTGCCACCTGCCTCACAAGTGCAAGGTCCTGAATTCGATCCCCGGTACAAAAAAAAAAAGTAGAAAAAGCAAGGTGACTGAAAACACCCTGCACAGCTTCTCGTTTTAGGAAGATGTCATTGATCCTCCCAAGTCTCTGTGTCAGTGCAGACACTCCTGTCAGTCATGAAGTTCTGTCCTTGTGACCGAGTCACTTCCCAGAGGTCCCGCATAATGCTGCCGCTGCGGGGCCAGGCAGGATTTCAGCCTGTGAATTTTGAGAGGAACACAAACATTGAGCAAAAGCTATTGCATGTGGGGATATTCTACCTGGCTCTGGAGGAGCCAGAGGCCTGGGGTGTGGCTTCAACTCTACTCTTTAGTTAGGAAGTCAAAGGGCACCTTTAAAAATAGTCATCTGCAAAGAAAATTTATTTATGCATCAAAAATATGTTGCTTTCTCTGACTCTGTGCAGCCAGAGAGCAAGAGCATGGGATGAAGACAGACCCAGGGTGGCTCTCTGGGAAGGGAAGGAAAGGAGGGAAGCCCTGCCCTTGTCTTCCTGTGGCGGCGCAGAGTGGTGCCTGCTGGCCTGTGCTGTTTCCTGTCTCCCCTGCTTGCACCAAGGGTGCCTCCCTTGTGTTCTGCCAGGTCTGTTCAGATCGTGACGCCTTGGAAAGTTCTTTCTTAATTAGCCTGTCAGATACCCTCCCGACCCTCTCACGTCTTCCAGTTTCTCCACTGCACTTGCCCCATACCCGGAGGAGCTGGCGGATTTACCCTGTGTTCCTCCCCAGGACAGCCCTTGAGCGCTAAGCCACATCTGGGTGGTGCACTGCGCCTGGCCACTAGGAGGTGCTCAGCCAAATGACCAAGCCTGGGAAAGGTCCAAACACCCAGAGGAAAGCACTGAAACACAAACTGGATTAAGGAAGGAGACTAAAACCCAGTCAGCTTTCTCTTTGCTGGAGAAGAAAGGAAATGTCAGTCTTCCGAAAGGGAACAGACTTTTAAAACAGTCAAAAAATTTTTATTGGAGCTAGAAACATCTCACTTGAAAGTCTCGTGAGGGATTTGTGTGATCTGTTAATTTGAAGGAGCATAAATAATTGTACCCTTCACAGAGTCTCTGGCTTGGGACTGATGACAGAGATGCATAAGGAGAAAAATCAATATGGATTTCTGTCGCAGTTTGGAAATGGCTTTTATTTCTTCAGCTCTGGGAGTCCTATCTTAGCATGTTAATTTCTCATTCGTTAAATGTGTTTTCTTTTTTGGTAGGTAGAATCTTACATGTTCTTTCAGCTCGGTGGCAAGCGAGTAATCCGATCGCATCAGCTACCACCTTGTTCTTCAGAGTTCTATGTGAAGGACACACCAAGGTGAAAGTGTTTGGTGTTTTGTTCTTGATCTGTGCCCAGGGCCTTTACACTGGATGGAGACAGACCCAGGGTAGCTCTCTGAGGAAAGACAGGAAAACAGACATCCCCCTCCCTTTTTAAATGTTTTACTTTGTGACAAGATCTCACTCAGCTGTCCAGACTGGACTCAAACTTGCTATCCTCCTGCCCCAGCTTTCCAGAGTCCTGAGGGTGACAGGCGGGCACCACCATGCCCTGCTGCAAAAGAGGTTTGGGGCATTGTCCTTCAGGCTGGAAAGGAAAAAATGGAGAGGGAGCTGGAACTCGAGTGGAGAGAGTCTTTGCATCATGAGAACGGGAAATCAGCAGCTCCTGCAGGCTCCTTTGAGGACTTCTTGGCTGGGCCAGCCAGGTGAAGTCCTGCGTGAAGCCTCGGCTGGAGCGCCCCCCAGTGGCTCATTGTGACCCTGGGCCTCTGGAAGGCACAACTGGTCTCCAGCTCCTCTCAGCGGCCTGTGTCTAGTTAGAGGAATCTTTCCAACGCCATCTGCCCGCTGACACCCGGAAGGCTTTCTCCTGGAGCCTTCTCACTTCTGTGGTGCCCAGACGTCTTGCACACAGCTCTGCTCTGTTGTGCACGTAGTGACCGAGTGCATGGAGCCACCCGGTGGAGGTCACTCACTGGAGAGGCCCGCGGTTCTCAGGTGATGGCGGAAGAGTGGAGACCCGCAGACCAGTCGGACTTGGGATCGGGAAGCCTAAGGACGCAGAGACATAAAGTGCTGTTTCTCGTCTATTCCTTGTTAATGTAGATTGTTAATTTTACGAACATGAAAACCACTAAGATATATAAAGAGAACAGAAGTGAGGTGATTGGCCATCGAGGAATACATGGAAACACTAAACTATAATTATTTGACTTACGGTACTACCAATATCCACTGGAAAGAGAGAGAAAGAGAACTTGTGCTTCCTCTGCTCTGCGTTGTCTCAGGTGTTTACAGTGCCTTTTGTATTAAAAAAAAGAAATCTCATGCATAGCCCCGCATTTCAGGACTTTGGATTGTGTACTTTCTGTTCTTTTACGCATGGTCAGAGATTCCTGTGGCCTGCTTGTGTGCTGGGTATTTATTGTCAGAAATCATCAACACACAAGCCATTCCCTCAGGCCAGGCATCTGAGGACCAGTCTTCTCTTCCTAAAAGGAAACTTGGTAGTGGTGATGGTCTTTTCCCACCCTCCCCCCGGCGCTGCCTTCCTCTGCCCTGTGAGGCACAGGCAGGCTGCTCTCCTTCCCTGCAAGCAGTGGTGCTGAGGAGGAGTTAGAATTACCTCCAATACAGCAGCAGAATCTTCTGTTTCCAGAAGGCTGATGTCCTTCTCCTCCCTGCCTCCCCTGGCTTTTCCAAGGCAGAAAGCGATCGTAAGAGGATAAATCATCATCAAAACATCCTTCAAATAATGCCCCAGAACAAGGCTCCTAGAAGCTTTTCTTGTCAGACCACAGCAATGGGAGTCAGAACTTGGCTTGCAGAATAGCTTCCTCACCTGAACAGTTTATTCCTGGTCTCTTTTCTCCTGTCCTGAGACACTCATTTCCTATTACACTCTGGACAAAGGCCTAGGACAGCTGGAGTCAGTGTAGGCCCCAACAGAAATAGAAGCAGGAAAGGAAATGTGCAGATATGTGTGGATGGCCCCACCCATGCCTGGAGTGAGGCTCCAACAAAAAAGAGTAACCGAAGAATCCCCGGACCGGAGGACACAGGTTCCATGGAGTCTGGGCCATGACAAAATGGCTAGAAGGAAACTTGCCCTGCTGGGGAATGCAGGTGGTAGGCCCTTTGGAGAGCTAGTGCCTCACGTTGGTTCCTCCCTCTGAGCAGGCAGCACCATCCTTAGGTGTCTACCCAAGAGAAATGTCCCCAAAAAAGACCTGTGCATGGGAGCTTTGTTCCTAAAGCCCAAACTGGAAGCACAGATACCAGGTAGCAGCACAGTCGAACGGTGGGACATTTACAGCAGCTGGAAGCAGTGAACTGCCTTACACAGAAACAGAAGAGTGTATACTCTGTGGTCCCATTTATGTCAAGCTCAAGAACAGTGAAGACCACTCCACGCCGATAAGAGTCAGAGTGACAGAAAGGAAAAGGGACATGAGGAACTATCTTGGAGAGTAAACATAGTACATATTTGATCTAGAAAATGATTGCATAAGTACAATAAAAATGATCACAGTATCCCTTAGATTTGTACATTTGACTACTTGTAAATTAAAAAACAGACCTTATATATTACATATTAAACTTCTGAATGATATCTTGCCTACAGAGGTTTAAAACCTCTAGCAGTGTACATCAGACAGTCAAATATTAATCATGCTGAGTGTTAAGCACGAGCAAGAACAGAAATGCCAGGGACTCAGAGTTGCTGTGTGGTGATCGCCTGTCACCACTCAGCAGTATCTAGGAAACCTGGGGCAAGAGTCCTGCTCCTCGGTCTGTCCCCTAGAGAAACTCAGGTATGAGTGTACTAAGATGTGTATGGTGATATCGCGGCATTGTGTGTTTTAATCATCCAATCTAGCAGCGCCATACAGAGCCATCGTTACAGGCTGGCTGCTGTAAAGGCTTATCGTGAAACATTTCCCACAACATGAGGGCATGAACCACCCAGCCACATGGAACACCCAAGAACCAGG